GAAAAATTGCTAAGGGCCTACTCACACTAGCGGTGTTTTTTGCTAAATCGCAAATTTAAATCTGCTATGCTGTTAGAGTCAAACTAGGGTTTTCCTACCACCAAAATTGCAAGCGGTGTAGCATTTGTCAGCGCCCTGGGGGGGCGTAGGGATGGGCATTTTGCTACCCCCTTGCCCTCGAGAGGTGGTGGCATTTTTAAATTTTTTTTTTTTTTTTAGTTATTCTTTTTTCAGGTTGTGGTGAATTCTCTCTCGCCTTTCGGAAATTGGTAAAAGAAAAAAAAGATTTCTGCGCTTTGTGACCATGCGAGGCACCGATTTTGCAATTATTGACAGAGTGCAGCCGCGCGTGTCTTTTCTGATTTGCAACCCATGTGTGACCGGGCGGGGTATGATTTCAGCAAACATGGGAAAGAAATTCAGCAGATTTTGCTAGACTGCCACCCTTGTGTGAGTACGCCCTAAGAGCGTACTCACACTAGGCCCTCTAACTCACAAAATCGCAAAATGAGCGGCCAGTTTGAGTCCTTTTAAAGGAAGGTCCTTATAAAGGACTAGATCTGGGAGTACGCCCTAAGAGCATACTCACACTAACTCACAAAATCGCAAAATGAGCGGCCATTTTGAGTCCTTGTGAAGGAAGGTCCTTATAAAGGAAGGACTAGTAGTAGAGAAAACTCTCAAGCAACACTGTGAGCCATGTGACAACACAACTGCAGATATGGAAACAGACGACAGAGAGGTAGGGAAGGAAGAAGAAAGAAGACAAGATTAGCAAAGTCCCCCGAGCGCGTCAGCTGACTCAGCTCGTAAAAAATTCTTCGATAGCTGACAGAAAAATTACGATAGGCGCGAATGCCATAGCCTGAAAGCCCAACTGGCGATTACCCTACACGTGTTTCGTCCGGTCCGCCAGTGTACCGGCCATCCTCAGGGGTCGCGCTGGTTGAGTCCGCTAGATCTTGAGAGTACGCCCTGAAAGCATACTCACACTAGGCCCTCTAACTCGCAAAATCGCAAAATAGCA